GTTTACTGACCCCACACGTATTTTTTACTTCAATCCTTTGATGAAACAACTCTGGTGCAGGAAACACTCCAGTTTCTCATCTGCTCTTGTAGACACAGAAGACAAAAAAGCCCTGCTGGCTTCCTGGTTGTTACAGGACGTATGGGTTTCAGTTTATTAAATAAATTGAAATATTGTCATAGATCTCCTCACTATATGCTCTCAGATGTCCCATGAAACAAACATAAACAGAACAAGTTAATCATTTATTGCCCACAGCAGGAAATCCATGTGTAGCAGCTGAAAGTTGGAGGTAAAGGGAAGCAGACAGATTCAGCTAATAACCTCCTTATTCAAAAATGATCCAGTTATGCTTTATGTCACTTATTTACACCCTGAATACCTACACACACACATGCATACATATTGCATATGCTATTTTCAAAAGAAATAACAAGGAACTCTGATGCCTGACCAGTGCCAGTTTTATTGCCCTCTTTGACCCTGAAGCTCTGACATGGTGTTGATGGTATTCAGCTGATCCCCACTGACACTTGCCTCCAAACTGCAGGTGTTTCTCTTCCGTTTTGGACAGAATATTTGTTTCAGGTTAAACTGAGCCCTGAACTCCTTACAAAGAAAGACGTAAATAAGCGGATCCAGACAGATGTTAGAAACTGATAGTAAAATGAAGATTTCCTTGACGTAGTACAGCACCACAGAACATTTTTCCCAAAGAATGATGTAAGGAATTCGAACAAAGTGATAAGGAACAAAGCAAAAGCAGAACACACTGACCAATACCAACATGTTCCTACGAGACTTTACAAGCTTCTTGGAGTTGGAGCAGGCCAGTTGAGTCTGCTGTACCTGCAGCACCCTGCGGGAGGCGCTGTAGTAGAAGAAAACCAGAGAAAAGAGTACCAACAGGAAGACGATGGCAGCAAAAGCATGAATCACTTTGTACAGTGGTTTTAAATGTTCACTGATCAGTTGATCACACATGCTGCATTCAGAAGGATGAGGTGTATTGTTGATCAGCATCAGGATGGCGTAAGGTGCTGTCATGATCAGGAGAACAACCCAGGTGGTTATTGAGATGATGTGGCTGGCTTTGGCAGTCATCAGAAAGTGAGTTCCCGTGGAATAAGATATCTTCATGTACCTGTGGAGAAGGACAAGGATTCAGGAAGCTTTCATTGGATTGTCTTGATTGCTGGACCTTGTAACAACCTGAATTTCTGCAAAGTGAAGTACAAATGTGAATACAGTCCTTCATAAAGTCATTGTAGATGGATGCTGAGCTTGGTTCTGGCTCTACTGGATGTTTCTTACAGTTAAAATGATGAAATTTCTTTGTAGCTTTCACACAATCTTTCTCAGAAGGAGAATGAAGTTAGGGATAGATAGACAGATTGAAGCTTTGTAATGATGGTGTTGCTGAACTTTA